AAGGACATTATTAATAATAATAATAATAATAATAATAATAAGAAGAAGAAGAAGAAGAAGAAGAAGAAGAAAAATGTAGAAGGTGAAGACGAAGTTAATAAAGAAGAAGACGGTGAAGTAAGACAATAATAATGTCATTGTTATTCTATTTATTCCAAATGTTCTCGTTCTTTCCATCCAAATAATAACAATAATAATAATAATAATAATAATAATAATAGTGAGAAGAAATTGGAAATATCCAAGGAGAAGACGAAAGTAGCCAAGAAAGAGGCAGCGAAGAAGGACAATAATAATAATAATATTAATAATAATAATAATAAAATAATAATAATAAAATAATAATAATAGAAAGAAAAAATAAGATGAAGAAAGAGAAGGAGGTAGCCAAGAAGATGGCGAAGAAGGACAATAATAATAATAATAATAATAATAATAATCGAGAGAAAAAAGAGATGTAAAAAGAGAAGACGAAATCAACTAACAAAAAGTCGTTGAAAAAGATATGTTATAGTAATGTTATCAATGAGAGTAATGGCGTTATTAATACCGGAAAGGTTTATTGCTCCTGTTTTATATTTATCATCAAATCTTGAAAACCTCAATCCACGCGATTAGCTTTCATTGCGTTTATCGTATCACTTGAGGTTCCTTCCTGTTATACGAATGTTTCGCAGACAATTAAAACACAAATGATTGCCTTAAACGTTAAATATATAAATAATTGTAACAAATGTCTTAATTAACAGGGAAAAAAAAACTTCGCTGATGACAAAAAAGATTTAACAAGTTTCAGATATTTTACAAATCTCTGATTACGTCCGCCGGCTTCTATGTTTTGGCAAAGGAGAAAGTTTACGTTTCAAAATGTACCTTTTGTTAAAATATAGTTGATTGCTTCTGCGAGGGCTTTTGTATTATGGGTGCGTTATTTATTTATTTTCTTTTGTTCCTTCCTGTTAGAAGGACGCGAGAGAAGACAAAAAAAAAATAAAAAAATAAATGAAAACAATAAATGAAAACAGCCTATTTTTAAATGTCATTGTTATTCTATTTATTCCAAATCTTCTCGTTCTTTCCATCCAAAACGCAAAGAAAAAGAAGTATATAAAAAAACAAAAATAAAAAATAAACTACAAAAAGACATAATACATACATACATGCATACATACGTACATACATATATACATACATAATGAGATAATGACTGCGACCAAAGTCTTACATCTTACATGCAGACCTTGACGGTCTGGCCTAAAATATATCAACTGCATCCATCATGTCCTCGCAAGAGTAGTATTCATCTCTATTTCAGGTTCATAAAACATCCAGGTAATAAGGATTCTGTCGGAAGTCTTGCCTATGGAATGGCAAAGAGGAAAGCGGCGAAGAAGGACAACAACAATAATAATAATATTGAGAAGAAAAAGGAAAGGTAGAAGAAGACGAATGTGGCCAAGAAGAAGACGGCGAAGAAGGGCGTTAATAATAATAATAATAATAATAATAATAATAACAATAATAATAATAATAATAATATTATTGAATATTTTTTTTTTCTTTCTGAAAACAGAAAGAAAAAATATTCAATAATAAAAGAAGGCAGTAAATACAAACAACATTTACATTTAGTAGATTCTGTAGTAAATCAAAACAGAAGCCAAGAACCAACTATTGCAGCAAAAGATATGAAAAAGAAAGCCAAGGATAAAGCCCTTGAACAGATGAAACAACGCTGGCAAGACAAACCTCTGCATGGCCAATATCCAGAACGTGCAAATAAACCCAATGTTGATAAAGTTAATACTCATCGATGGTTACGAGCATCTGGATTAAAGTCTGAAACTGAAGGCTTTTATTCTTGCAGCGCAAGACCAGAGTCTTTTCACTAGGAATTTTCAGGCAAATATCATACATAATAATGTGGATCCAAAATGCAGGTTCTGTGACAAATACCAAGAAACAATAGACCATCTAATCTCAGGATGTTCTATACTTGCCCCAAATGAATATAAAAATCGTCACGATAGAGTGGGGCAATACTTACACTGGACAATGTGCAAACACTTTGGAAAAATGTGTAAGCAAACACTGGTATGAACATCGGCCAGCGCCGGTTACAGAAATAGAAGATGTCACCATTCTATGGGATTATACCATCCACACAGACAGAAAAATTGAAGCAAATAGGCCGGACATTATTGTCAAAAACCAGAAAGAAAAAAACTTGCCTACTAATTGATATGGGCTTGTCCAGCGGATTGTAACATAGCAACCAAGGAATTTGAAAAACTATCAAAATACAAAGACCTGGAAATTGAAATAGAAAAAATGTGGAAATTGAAAACAAGAATAATACCAGTGGTAATAGGTGCACTTGGAATTATAAAAATGGAACAAAACAACACATTGAAAGAATCCCTGAAACCCCAGCTTAAGAGACATACAGAAAATTGTCTTATTAAGTACAGCACACACACTAAGGAGAACTTTGTTTATGTAACGCTAGCAACTTCATCGGAGATAAAAAAAAAAAAAAAAAAAAAAAAAAAATTAACATGAAATGTGGCCATAACAACGCACCACGACCTGCCTTAGGTCTTTCCGCAGACTTGGTAGGTAGTGTGTCCATAGCAGAAATCGAATGATGATGATGATGATGATAATAATAATAATAATAAGAAGAAGAAGAAGAAGAAGAAGAAGAAGAAGAAGAAAAATGTAGAACGTGAAGACGGAGTTAATAAAGAAGAAGATGGCGAATGAGGTTTCTGTCGGAAGTCTTGCCTATGGAATGGTACGTAGGCCATTTACAAAGACACTCCTAAAATGTTCCTTTGGTGGTTATGAGTCTTCGAGGTGCTCACGGGTCGTCTTCCACCATATATGAATGTATGTATGCATGTGGTCTGCTATCTCTAAGTAGTGCAGACCTAAAATGTCATGAAATATGTCACAGAGAGAAGTCTTTCATTACATGTCATGTGGCATTTACGTAACAAAAATATCTCCAACGTTGACACATCTGCGCAAGACAATATAGAACACTTGCAAGACTAAAAAACGACATCCACAGTGGCCAAAATTTTAGGATGTATCGTTGTTAAAGTTACAGTGATCATTTACCCTTGATCATTTATAGTTTAGCCTGGGACTATTTACTTGGTTCAGTAAGAGATAAGAATTTGTCATTTATAGTTGGGCCTGGGATCAATTACTTTTTGATCAATGAAAGATAAGTATTGGTTATTTGTAGTTGAGCCTGGAAGCATTTATTTAGTTCAGTGATAGATAAAGATTGCTCATTTATATTTGAGATTGGGAGCATTTACTTGGTTCAGTAAGAGATAAGAATTGGTCATTTATAGTCGGGCCTGAGATCAATTATTTTTTGATCACTGATTGATAAGTATTGGCTATTTGTAGTTGAGCCTGGAAGCATTTATTTGGTTCAGTGATAGATAAAGATTGCTAATTTATATTTGAGATTGGGAGCATTTACTTGGTTCAGTAAGAGATAAGAATTGGTCATTTATAGTCGGGCCTGGGATCAATTACTTTTTGATCACTGATTGATAAGTATTGGCTATTTGTAGTTGAGCCTGGAAGCATTTATTTGGTTCAGTGATAGATAAACATTGCTCATTTATATTTGAGATTGGGAGCATTTACTTGGTTCAGTAAGAGATAAGAATTGGTCATTTATAGTCGGGCCTGGGATCAATTACTTTTTGATCACTGATTGATAAGTATTGGCTATTTGTAGTTGAGCCTGGAAGCATTTATTTGGTTCAGTGATAGATAAACATTGCTAATTTATATTTGAGATTGGGAGCATTTACTTGGTTCAGTAAGAGATAAGAATTGGTCATTTATAGTCGGGCCTGAGATCAATTACTTTTTGATCACTGATTGATAAGTATTGGCTATTTGTAGTTGAGCCTGGAAGCATTTATTTGGTTCAGTGATAGATAAACATTGCTCATTTATATTTGAGATTGGGAGCATTTACTTGGTTCAGTAAGAGATAAGAATTGGTCATTTATAGTCGGGCCTGGGATCAATTACTTTTGATCACTGATTGATAAGTATTGGCTATTTGTAGTTGAGCCTGGAAGCATTTATTTGGTTCAGTGATAGATAAACATTGCTCATTTATATTTGAGATTGGGAGCATTTACTTGGTTCAGTAAGAGATAAGAATTGGTCATATAGTCGGGCCTGAGATCAATTACTTTTTGATCAATGATAGATAAGTATTGGTTATTTGTAGTTGAGCCTGGAAGCATTTATTTAGTTCAGTGATAGATAAAGATTGCTCATTTATATTTGAGATTGGGAGCATTTACTTGGTTCAGTAAGAGATAAGAATTGGTCATATAGTCGGGCCTGGGATCAATTACTTTTTGATCAATGATAGATAAGTATTGGTTATTTGTAGTTGAGCCTGGAAGCATTTATTTAGTTCAGTGATAGATAACGATTGCTCATTTATATTTGAGATTGGGAGCATTTCCTTGGTTCAGTAATAGATAAGAATTGGTCATTTATAGTCGGGCCTGAGATCAATTACTTTTTGATCACTGATTGATAAGTATTGGTTATTTGTAGTTGAGCCTGGAAGCATTTATTTGGTTCAGTGATAGATAAGCATTGGTCGTGTGCGACTGGTGCTATATATAGCTTTGATAATAACAGATAATTGTGTCAGCCCAAGAAACGACTCCGTGGTGATGTAAGCACCAAAATTTGAGACCACTTCCACCAAAGATTGTTGAGAGAAGAACTACTACTTAGAATAGGTGGCGCTGACTATTTGCATATGACTGATACTACGTAGGTATTAGCCAATCGTCAACGTGTGTCTGTGACTGAGATAGCTATATAACACCAGTGTTTTTCTCGGTCGAGAGCGAGGCTCCCGACGTGTGAATACCAGACAAGAGCAACACAAGCTATTTCGGCTGCACTAGTTAGCATGCCGGAGTCAAGTTATCGGAATGAACCAGACGGATGGCTTCACCAAGAACGGCCATGCACCACCACCCACCGAATCGAGAAAGAGCTATCGATCTGTCAAACTAAGGAATTAGATTTAAATCGAATTTGGAATCTGCCATTGTCCGTCAGTAGCTTGTGTTCGTCTTCTCTGGTGCGATTACGAGACAAGACTAATACATTGGTTTCACAAAACAGGATATATACCTTAAAAATTTCAACATGCTTAACTGGGCCATAGCTGACATTTAGCGGATGGTTGACAAACGAAAATGCTTCTCATTGCAACCGCATGCATCAACCTAAGAGTGATGCCCATCGTCTTTATGGCCACAGGTACGAAGGAGGGAGAGGATTAGTTCAACTAGAACTGTCCTACAAAGACACAACAATCGGCTTTCGAAGATGCCTGGAAACTACAAAAGACAATGTGCATAGAAAAATGAACGAAAAAAGAAACTTTATTCAGTAATAAAGGAAGCCAACAAATTCAAAAGGGAATTTCAAGTGGGTGAAGAAAGTGCAAATAAACCATAATACACCTACTGTAACGGCAAAGAACCTAAAAATGAAAGCATAAGCAGATGCAATATCCCAAATGCTATGTACCAAACGCAGAAACGATGCTAAGTTATCCCTCTTGAACATCTTGGCAATATTCTGCACTTACCAAACAAACGGAAGTAGAAAAAACCCTTCACCCATCAGTGGTTACGTAGTTCAAGGTTAAAAGTTGAAACCGAAAGATTTATTCTTGCTACATGGGATCAGTTCTTGATAACTAGAAATTAGCTGACATTTATTTAATAGATGTCAAAACGAAAAAGCTTCTCATTTACCCCCGCATCATCATCCTAAGACTGATGTTCATCGTCTGTATGGTCCCAGCTCTAAAGGAAGCAGAGGATTAGTTCAACTAGAACTGTCTTACAAAACCACACTAATCAAAGAAACTACAAAAGACAGGATGACGATGTGTGAAAAACATCATGAAAGAAAGAAGAAAAATTATTCGGTAACAAATTCAAACGGTTTGCGGGTGAAGAAATAAACAATAATAAACACAGTATTTACATTAGCCGGACTATTTGTCACAACGTTTCGGCCTTCTTCAGGTGGTTGGAATTTCGAACTAAACCCTTTATTTCGATCACTGGGGTAGACTTGTTCTAGTTCAACGTGCCATGTTTGATGAATGCCAGTTATCAGTTATCTCCTGCTAATTTTCCCTCTGAAAGTTCTCCACTGCCTTAACCAGGCATTGAACTCACCTTCTTTGGGTCTGTCACTGGATCTAACCAACGACTTCATCCACTGTGCCATGTGTCCTTGAGGACATCTGGGTATGAACTTCTGAGTATTATAAACCTAATGTTTTCAGCATCATTTTTACCCGTGCTCATTTTGCAATTTTTGCTGTTATCATTGCATGTCTTTACCAAAGTTCATATTGCAACTTTGTTATCATTGATTTTCTCTGGCACTCCTTATTACTGGTTCCCTAAACACCTACTGCAGTGGCAACAAAACCTCCAAAAAAGCAAAAGCAAATACAATGTACTAAATTCAGAAATGATGGCAAGATAAACCGCTTCACGGCTAATACTCTGCCTGTACTAAACAAGATGATGTAGATAAACGTACGAAGGGCAGGGTTAAAAGCTGAAACCGAAGGATTTATTATTGCACAGGACGAATGGTCGCAAAATAGAAATTACCAAGCACACATGAAAATTTGTGTTAACCGGAAATGCAGATTTTGTGAAAAATATTCAGAAACAATCGGCCATCTTGTATCAGGTTACACAGTGTTAGCACCCACTGAATGACTCGGCATGTTGGAGTGGGTCAATAGCTGCACTGGAAAATATGCAACTTTACTTTACTTTTTCTTACAACAGCAGGAAACTGGTATGAATATCCCCAAGACTCGGTTACAGAGATAGGACCGGTAACAATTTTATGGGTTTTACAAGACACACAGAGAGAACAATCAAAGCTAATCTCCCAGGCATCAGGATGAAAGACTACAAGAACGGAATGTGCTTTCTTACTGACATGGCAGTCTTTGCAAATTGTAATGTATCTTTGAAGATCTTCAAAAAACCTATGAAAATACAAGTATCTTTAAGTAGAAATCTAAAAAACGTGCCACGCGAGGACATCAATAATTCCAGTTTTAAATGCATCCCTTGGTTAGATTGGAAAAGGTTCCGATACAGACATTGAAGGGAGCAATGGTAGCATATGCCTTAAATGAATTAAGAAGAAATGTACTCACAAGTGCAGCTCACACCTAGCGAATAGCTTTATCTATGTAAAATATATGTGGTCTGAGGTTGACACATTTTTTTCACAAATATACACTATTTACATTATTCGGACAATTGCCGTCATCTTTGTTGCCATATTTATTACAATGTTTCGGCCGTTGTAATCTCCAACCTTCTTTAGGTGGTTGGAATATCGAACTGAACTTTATTTCGCTCACTGGGGTAGACTTTTCTAGTCGCACGTGCCATGTTATATGGATGTCAATTATCAGTTATCTCCCCTCTTCAAGTTCTCCACTGCTTTAACCGGGTATTGACCTCACACTCATTGGGTCCTGTCACTGGATCTAACCAACGCCTTTATCGACTGTACCATGTGTCTTTGAGGACATCTGTGTAGGAATTTCTGGGTATTATAAACCTAATGTCTTCAGCAACCATTTCTACCAGTACTCATATTGCAATTTTTGCTGTTATCATTGCATGTTTTTACCAGAGCTCATATTGCAACTTTGTTGTTATTATCGCTTTTCTCTGGCACTCCTTATTACTGGTTCTCATATTGTATTTATTTCTATGCTTGGTCGGCTCAGGAGATTTTTTTGGCCTAGCATATGTGCTGATTCCTTAAGTTTACGAATTTTCCAATGGGCCAAAATATCATGATGCCATTTCTGACCTTAGGTCCCTTTTTGGGACACGAAAGGACACGTGAATACAACAGATATCAAAGAATTAATTTATTATTATAATATATATTGTTCCTTGGAGAACATAGTGCCGCAACAACATCCTTCCAACGGAGATGGTTTCGGGTGATCCTCTTCAGCTCGTCCCATGTCGTGCTGGCTGCCTTCACCTCTGCGTCAACACTTCTACGGCAAATTTGTTTTCGTTGACTCACTTTTCGCTTCCTTTGTGGATTCCAGTCAAGATCCTGCCTGGTGACAATAGAAGCAGGCTTGCGGAGTGTGTGGTCGATCCATCCCTATTTCCGTTTCTTGGTGTCAATCTCGATTGGGGCTTGTCTGATGCTGTCCCACTGTTGGTCGTTGGAGACGACTTCCCTTGTGGATTACAGTCAAGGGCCTGCCTAGTGACACTAGAAGCAGGCTTGCGAAGTGTGTGGCTGATACATCCCCATTTTGGTTTCTTGATGTCAATCTCGATTGGGGTTTGTCTGGTCTTGTCCCACAGTTGGTCGTTGGAGACGACTTCCCTTGTGGATTACAGTCAAGGGCCTGCCTAGTGACACTAGAAGCAGGCTTGCGAAGTGTGTGGCTGATACATCCCCATTTTGGTTTCTTGATGTCAATCTCGATTGGGGTTTGTCTGGTCTTGTCCCACAGTTGGTCGTTGGAGACGACTTCCCTTGTGGATTACAGTCAAGGGCCTGCCTAGTGACACTAGAAGCAGGCTTGCGAAGTGTGTGGCTGATACATCCCCATTTTGGTTTCTTGATGTCAATCTCGATTGGGGTTTGTCTGGTCTTGTCTCACAGTTGGTCGTTGGAGACGACTTCCCTTGTGGATTACAGTCAAGGGCCTGCCTAGTGACACTAGAAGCAGGCTTTCGGAGTGTGTGATCGAACCATCTTCATTCTCCGTTTCTTGATGTTAATCTCGATTGGTGCATGTCTGGTCCTGTCCCACAGTTGGTCGTTGGAGACGACTTCCGGTCACCTGATAGTGAGGATGTTCCTCAGATATCGGTTGGTAAATGTCTAAAGTTTGTAGGTGCTGGTCTTCGTTACCCGCCAGGTTTCTGAGTCGCAACATAGGACCAACTTGACGTTAGTGATGAAGATTGGATCTTGTTGCAAAGTGAGAAAGCTGCTGATCTCCAGATTGCCCGTTGAGTGTTGAAAGCGTATCAGGCTTATAAAAACTAGAAATAACCGTAATAATTTCACGGCTTTCCTAATTTTCTGATTAAACATAATTCTTCGGTTAATGATTGTATAAGTTCATGACGAGTTCTACAACAATAAAATATCGCCAGAAATTCCCCTGTCGCTTCGATTAATCTTTGAACTTAATAACTTTAACAAAATATATTGGAACTTCGGTTCTTAAATGTCTCACATGTCGAACAAAATCGGCTTTCGAACAGAAAATTCGCGATGAAAATGCTTCGGTTATGGAACAAATTTTCAGTTCTCGAACAACATTGCCGAACCGAGTTAACCTGAACGGAATCATTTCTGAGACGACCGCCGTGTTGTATACATTCGTGTGTTGTGGTGTGCTTTTCTTTTGCAATTTTATTGTACTGTGACTTTTTTTTTTTACTACATTGATTCTTATTGGAAAAATAGTTTCGGTTTACGAATATTTCGGGTCGCGAACGGCCTTCAGGAACGAATTAAATTCGTGAACCGAGGTTCCACAGTATTGCATTAACAAGCATAAATAGGAATGCTGGTCGTTATTTTTAGAAGTAAGGGGGTACAAATGAAAAGGGTTGATATTAGCATTTTTTTTTCCATTTCACTGAAATAATCTACCCTTTATCTTCCTTTCTTTTCTTTTTTGTCCGTTTCTTTCTTTCCTTTTTCTCTTTCTTTTTTTTTCTTTTTCTTTCTTTCTTTTTTTGTCTTTTTCTTTCTTTCTTTCTCTTTCTTTTTTTTCTTTTTCTTTCTTTCTTTTTTTGTCTTTTTCTTTCTTTCTTTCTCTTTCTTTTTTGTCTTTTTCTTTCTTTCTTTTTTTGTCTTTTTCTTTCTTTCTTTCTCTTTCTTTTTTGTCTTTTTCTTTCTTTCTTTTTTTGTCTTTTTCTTTCTTTCTTTCTCTTTCTTTTTTGTCTTTTTCTTTCTTTCTTTTTTCTCTCTTTCTTTTTTTGTCTTTTTCTTTCTTTCTTTCTTTCTTTCTCTTTCTTTTTGTCTTTTTCTTTCTTTCTTTCTCTTTCTTTTTTGTTTTTTCTTTCTTTCTTTTTCTCTCTTTTTTTGTGTTTTTCTTTCTTTCTTACTCTCTTTCTTTTATGTCTTTTTCTGTCTTTCTTTCTTTCTATTTTCTGTTAATGTTTCTATCACAAACTCAAAGCGAAACATTACGGGTTTCTAAAGAGGGCGATAATTGTACTGATTCCCATTTAATATATGCCTACCAATGTTGCAAACATATGGGTTGACCAACGGAAAAAATGAAATAAAAAATTCAATGGCCACTGTTTTTGATGTCAGCACAATGTGACATCAGCGGGGCGTGTAGAACATTTTACCACAAACAACACTAATTTCTACAAATATCTTAATTCTGAAAAAATACTCACAATATACGGAACTTGTGACCCTTAAGACGAAGAGACGATGAGAGTTGCGTATTCAAACTACAACCTTCACTGCTCACGGGCAATGAATAGAATGACAGGAGAGTTCCATAAGATTTATCCTAAGCTGTTTCCTCTTAGTAACTAATCAACTACCGGAAAATTCCAGAATGACCAAGATCACCATCATATTAAGCAAGTTTCAGTTTCATGCCTTCACGCTGGCGGCGTTTCATTCATTTTGACGCGTTCTTTGCCAATTCGGCCGTTTTTTTCATTACAAGAAAAGCAACATTTCTACAAAGATTTGTAATTTTTTCTAGATTAATATATTTTTATAATTGAATATTTTTTTTAAATGTTACTTGAAGACAGATATTCTGTTGAAATATTGTTTAACATCGTCAAATACTGATTTTTTACTTTTTTAATTTCTTAAATCGCACTGATCTGCTGAAAAATATTGGAACAATTACGTTAATTATTTTGTTTAATACTACTACTACTACTACTACTACTAATAATAATAATAATAGTAATAATAATAATAATAATGTACTAATAATAACTCCAAGAAAAAGGAGGTAACAAAATATGCCAGAGGAAATCTGTATCGATGAGTACATATATATATATATATATATATATATATATATATATATATATATATATTCATCGATACAGATATATATATATATATTTATATATATATATGTATGTATGTATAAATATATGTGAGTGTATATGTATGCATGTGTATATATATATATATATATATATATATTGACTATAGAGACATATATATGCATATATATGTATATATTAATAAATTAATATATATATATATATAAATATATATATATATATATTTTGTATATTTTTATCTGTTGGTGTGGTTGTGGGTTGGTGTCGCGCTCTTTGAAAATGTCATTATTTTCCCATGCCTAAAAAAAGCAGTAAGGAAATATTGAAATATTATCCGACAACAACAAAAAAATCTTGCCGTAATATTCTAATACTTGAAAATTCATCTCCTTTTCACACACACACACACACACACACACACACACACACACACACACACACATATATATATATATATATATATATATATATATATATATATATATATATAGATAGATAGATAGATAGATATGCCTGCTTCGACATGTCTTATATTTTTCCATTGTTTGTTTTCATTTTCTTTTAAGTGAAAAGAAATTTAATATCATTGAGCAAACAGGCGAAAATAATACACAATGATATTTTATATACCTATGACATTTCCTTCCTGTAGCCTGCATCTCTTATAAAGACACACACATATATATATATATATATATATATATATATATATATATATATACACAAAAACATATATATATATATATATATATATATATATATATATATATATATATATATATATAGTGTGTGTCTGTAGGTCAATAATAGTGGACGCCTGCCCTCCAATACGTGTTTTGAAAAACATTCACCAAATTTGTAATTTGCTTTATGCATAATAAACCTTTACGCGTATCATTTGAAAAGTGTTTAAAAAATGCTTAAAGTATAAATTCATGGCTAATTGTAGTAAAAAAAAATATATTCGATGTTTACGATCCAATTACAGCGGAAGCTCACCTATAACTGCAAATTCACATCTGTCTCTGACGCAATCTTCACAACTTTCTTTTTTTCAAGTTTTATTTACTTAAAATTGTTTTGTAAATTATTGTTAGAACCTAGGGAAGGTTACTGAATAGAATAAATATACGAAGGTTGGTAATGAATGATAATACTTAGGACAAGAACAACAAATATAAGATTCGCCAGCGGCGTACAAAAGTAGTAGTCAAATGCTAGAAATTAGTCAAGTAAATTCTACAACGAATCTCCAGTCGCAGGATATTTCTCAACCGCTCCACGCGGCCAGATGTGGGAAAAGGACGAATTTAATGTGGGGTAACCGAGCCCGTAGGCTCGACCAAAATTTCGCCGTAGACTCCGTCTAAAACGTGGTCGGGTTGCTGTTTCCCGAGAAGATATTCTGCCCTTCGGCATAGCCTCGTTTGGGGATCCTCTCCGCCCGGAGGCAGAGAGTTTCACCAGCATAGCTAGAGACGAATCTCCAAATGCACGATATCTACCAACCACCCCACGCGGTCAGATGTGGCACTAGGCCGAATTTACTGTAGGTTATACGTGCCCGTAGACTCGGCCAAAAATTTTCCATGGACTCCGTATCAAACGGGGTCGTGAAGCTGCCCTTCGACATAGCGTCGTTTGGGGATCCTCTCCGCCCGGGGGCAGAAATTTGACCAGCATAGCTAGAGACGAATCTCCAAATGCAGGATATCTACCAACCACCCCACGCGGTCAGATGTGGCACGAGGCCGAATTTACTGTAGATTATACGTGCCCGTAGACTCGGCCAAAAATTTCCCATGGACTCGGTATCAAACGGGGTCGTGAAGCTGCCCTTCGACATAGCCTCGTTTGGGGATCCTCTCCGCCCGGGGGCAGAAATTTGACCAGCATAGCTAGAGACGAATCTCCAAATGCAGGATATCTACCAACCACCCCACGCGGTCAGATGTGGCACTAGGCCGAATTTACTGTAGGTTATACGTGCCCGTAGACTCGGCCAAAAATTTCCATGGACTCCGTATCAAACGGGGTCGTGAAGCTGCCCTTCGACATAGCCTCGTTTGGGGATCCTCTCCGCCCGGGGGCAGAAATTTGACCAGCATAGCTAGAGAAGAATCTCCAAATGCAGGATATCTACCAACCACCCCACGCGGTCAGATGTGGCACTAGGCCGAATTTACTGTAGGTTATACGTGCCCGTAGACTCGGCCAAAAATTTCCCATGGACTCCGTATCAAACGGGGTCGTGAAGCTGCCCTTCGACATAGCCTCGTTTTGGGATCCTCTCCGCCCGGGGGCAGAAATTTGACCAGCACGGCTGGAGACGTACTGCTAGCTGCAGACCAACATACAGTATTTACTACTGTAATTATGTGAATGCTGCAACAATTAAATATCGGAAAATTGAAATGGAAGCAAAACAAAGAATTACTGAGGCCAATGTTTTTAATTATATTAAAATTTAAAAATAGAAAAATACAATTTGTTTTAAAAAATTATATCGTCCTCCTCAGATTTATTTTTCCTAAAGGCAAATTCGTAACATGATACGTTGATTTTTTTTTATCAATTTCATGTTAATCAAGTCAATCAAGCCACTAAGTTGCAAGGGGATTTTGAAAGGTAAAAGAAACAGTGGGGCAATGTAAGATTGTTTGATTTGTATGTTCGTTTTTTTTACAACTGTATCAAACTTTTGCAGATTGCAGAAAATGTTTTAGAGCGTAAGAATATTTTTGGAAATAATAATGATACAAGTTCTACGATTTAGCCTATATCTATGGGAATAATTACTTTCCCCATTGGTATTCTCAAGTAAGTGAATATAACGGACCCAGCTTGAATTGGAACTCGGCTCTCCGATTTCAAATTCTCCGGCGTTATCCATTACACGACTTGCACATTCAAGCTTAAAGCGCATAGTACTCCCAAGCGATCACCCATCTACGTACTGGCCTGGTTCTTCGTAGCTTAATTTCGGTGATCGTACGAAACCCGATGTTAGACAGCGATATGGCCGTAAGACAAGACAATATAAAAACAGAATTGTATGAATGAGAATATAGCGATTGACGTTTCAATTAAATTTTCGAAGATCTTAGTTCCAAATGTGAGAAGTTAGAGGCAAGAAACAATTCAAATAAATCTTACGGTTACAGCTACAAATTGTTGGACCTAGCTGACAATCTAGTACAGCGTTTAAGTTCGTGGAGTCTAGGTACCAAAGAGGAAAGCACAAGGCAAAAAGAGGGACAGTAAATGGCTGCTCTTCAGGATCTCTTATCTTAGATCTACATTGACACGATTACAGACCCAAACATACTATATATCCCTTACACGAAAACAACATAATCATGCTTACCATTCTTACTACAGTCACCATAATACCTCTGTATCTCTATTAAGTCGTGTCTTGTTCCAAATATACATAATTGTATCAGATCATGCCATAAGTTCTGTCCAAATTTTGAATAAAGAAAACAAGTGACCAAATGTTAAATTCAATTACAGATTCAATAAACAATGTATTTTCCCTGATTATCTATGACTTCTTTCCATCTATTAACAAGCTTACTATCAGGTCATCCCATAAGTTCTGTCCAAATTTTGAATAAAGAAAACAAGTGACCAAATGTTACATTTAATTACAGATTCAATCAACAATGTATTTTTCCTGATTATCTCTGACTTCCTTCCATCTATTAACATGCTTACCAATTCCATTACTGTAAAATTCTTTTGACTTTGATTCGAAGAACTCACAAATGTCAGTTTTAACCTCTTCCTGTGTTACAAAAGCTGTTTCTTCCAAATGATTTTGTAAGCTACGAAACAAATGGTAGTCAGAAGGAGCAAGATCGGGAGAATAAGGTGGATGAGGAATTTTCTCCCAACCAAGTTCTTCGATCTTTTGTGACATGATTCTTGCTGTGTGGGGTCGCGCATTGTCCTGACGAAACATCACCTCTTTTCGATTCACAAGAGCAGGTCTTTTTTTCCTCAAAGCTTGGTTCAAACGCTCTAATTGTTGACAGTATATTTGAGCATTAATTGTTGCGTTAGGTGGTAAGAATTCAAAGTGGATTATTCCTTGGCGATCCCACCAGATTGAAAGAAGAACATTTTGCCTATGAAGTTCCCTTCTTGGATGTGGCTGGGGTCCTTCCCCTTTACCAAGCCATTGTCTACGACGCTTAAGATTTCGATAAAAGATCCATTTTTCGTCGCCAGTCACAAGTCTATCCAAAAAAGGTGAAACAAGTTGGCGAGAATGGAGAGAAGAGCAGATGTCAACTCGGGATTTGAGGTTATTTTCAGACAATTCATGAGGCACCCATTTTCCAAGTTTAAGAACTTTTCCACGTTGTTGAAGATGACGATGAACAGTTGTATGGTTTGAACTGAGAACCACTGCCAATTCCTCAACTGATAAAGCAGGATTTTCTTCAAGGGCTGCTTCAAGAAGCTTTTCCTCAAACTCCACTGGACGTCCGGTTCGATCTTCATCTTCAAGGGTGAAATCTCTACCTCTGAATTTTGCAAACCATCTTCTGCAAGTTCTTTCATTCACACATTCCTCTCCATAAACTGAGTGAATATTTCTAGCCGCTTCGGCTGCTGAGTTTCCTTTCTTGAACTCATAAAGCATTATGTGCTTCAAATGATTCTTGGGTACTTCCATGTTAGCAAGTTTTTAATCAAACAAAATTTAATTTTATTCTTCTCGGAAATAAAATTTGATCAGTTTAAATGCATCTAAACATAAAAATACTGTTCAGCTCCATTAAACATTATAAGATACTCTTTAAATTTCGTTCATTTTAACAAAAAGTTAAAATTCGGACAGAACTTATGGGATGACCTGATATTAAAGAGAGAATTAATATTTATTTTGGGAATACAACAATATGTCACAAAGCCAAAATGGTGTATATGCGAAGGTTACTCTTCAATCTGTCTTATCTTAAACCTATCTAGCCATAATTACTGACTCAAACATACTACAGTATTCCTTACACCAAAACAACACATTCTTACTTACCATTCTTACTACAGCCACCATAATACCTCAGTATCTCTATTAAGTCTTAACTAGTTCCATATGTACATAACTGTACTAAAATTATAAGTAATATTTTTTTTTTGGAAATGCAAAAAATGTGGCACATGACCAAAAGGGAAGATATGCAAATGGCTGCTCTTCAATTAGTCTTATCTTAAACCAAGCTAGCTACGATTACTGACTTAGAATTACAGAGGATAGGAGGTTATAGAGAGCCATGAGCAGCCTACCAAAGAAGCTTGTGCAAATGGATGACAAAACAAGGAGTGAGAAGGATAGTAAAAAGACAAACATGCTAAGAGCTATAAAGGTGAGGAAAATAAAATACAAATAAAATTATAAACAAAAAACAATAAAAGAAAATCAACAACAGTCAAGTAAAATAAAAAAAGTAAAAAGAACATTAACAAAATACAGAAAAGTAGAATCAACAAAAGCAAATGGAAATTAAAAAAATAAAATTATAAACAAATTAACAAAAAAGAAAAGAAAATAAACAAAAAATAAAGGAAAACGAATAAAAAATAGAAAAGGCAAATCAAGAAAAACAAAAGGAAAAGAAAAAAGAAATTATACACAAAAACAGAAAAACGAAATCGACAAAAACAGAAAAGGAACATTAACTAAATCAGTAAATGAAATTTGACAAAAACAGAAAAGCAAAATCAAGAAAAACAAAAGGAAAATAAAAAAGAAAGTTATGAACAAAAAACAGAAAAAGAAAATCAACAAAAACTAAACTAAAGCAAAATCACAGAAACAGAAAAAAAAAATCAACAAAAAACGGTAAAGGAAAATAAACAAAAAGTAGAAAAAGAACATTAACAAAAAAAACAGAAATGTAAAGTCAGCAAAAATCAGAACAGGAAAATAAAATGAAAATAATGAACAAAAAAAAACATGAAATTCAACGGCGAAAAAGAAAAATAATCGAAAAAAGAAAAAGAAAATAAAAAAAGGAAAAGTTAAACAACAAAAAGGAAAGCAAAATAAAAAGGCGAAAGAGAGTTAATGAAGAATAAAAAAAAAAGAAAATCACACGAAAAATCAGTAAAGGATAATGAATAAACTAAAAAGAAGCTAAATGTCTAAACAACAACAACAACAACAAAAAATGAAATTCGATTAAAAACAAAAGAAAAAAAGAAAATCCATTAAAACCAAAAAAGAAAATTCTTTAAAAACAAAAGAAAAAAAGGAAATCCATTAACAAGAAAAGAAAAAAAATCTATTAAAAATAAAAAAGAAAGAAAATCCATTTAAAACAAAAGAAAAAAGGAAACCCATTAAAAACAAGAGAAAAAAGAAAATCCATTAAAAACAAGAGAAAAAAATCCATTAAAAACAAAAAAGAAAATCCATTAAAAACAAAAAAAAAGAAAATTCATTAAAAACGACAAAAAGAATATCCGTTAAAAACAAAAGAAAAAGGAAATCCTTTTAAAAAAGAAAATCCATTAAAAACAAAAGTAAAAAAGGAAATTCATTAAAAACAAACAAAAAAGAAAATCCATTAAAACAAAAGAATAAAAAGGAAATCCATTAAAAAAAGAAAAGAAACTTGATTAAAAACAAAAGAAAAAAACGGAAATCAGCGAAACGATAAGAATAATGGCAGAAAACAGAAACACACAATGAAGAAGAAACTGGAAATATCCATCAGAAAGGAATAGCGACCGAAATAAGGACAAAGCCGGAGTTTTTCTATTTGTGATTGCAATAACCCCTCCGCCCTCACCCACTCAGCCAGTCTGGAATATCGACATTATAGATATCATCCAATGGCTCAAGGAGTAAACACTTCCAGTGAAACAGTGTGAACTGCTGATTGATCAGCACGAATCCTGGCCAATCGGAAAGAAAATTGTGTTTGTCGTTGTGGTTGACAAGAAAACAAATAAGATTGTCATTTCCCCGAAGAATCGTGTAATAAAATTACATCAGAGCTCCAGAGATAATGCTTTAGAGGTTGCAAAAGACACAATCTTTCCGATATGGAACGGGACATTTTCACAGCCGAAGATTTTCGAACCCTGACAAGAAAAGATTTGCAAAGCAAAGGAAGCAAATTACGCGTTGACGGATCAAAGTGTAGTATAAGTTCTTCTAATTTCTAATGGTAATGTTACTATTAGCCATTTCCTTATAAAGAAGCATTTATTTACAAAAAAAAAAAGCCAGAATTACTCCAGGTTTATTCGCTCCTAAGCCATCGCTTCCGGATCAAAGTGTAGTATAAGTTCTTCTAATTTCTAATGATAAGGTTAATATTAGCCGTTTGTTTATAATGAAACATTCGGCATTCATTGACCGCGCAGCCAGAGCTACGAAGCTTGTCTTCGTTTCCTAACCATCGCTTCGGAATCAAAGTGTAGTATAAGTTCTAATTTCTAATGGTAATGTTAATATTAGCCGTGTGTTTATAAGGAAACGTTCGGCATTCATTGGGCGAGAAGCCAGAGCTACTAAGCTTGTCTTCGTTTCCTGGCCATCGCTTCGTAATCAAAATTCGTTATCCAAAACCCACAGCTTCATTCACTCATTTTATGTGCCTGTGTTTGTTTCTGCATCAATCTTTTCATTACCTATCTATCTATCTATCTATCTATCTATCTATCTGTATTAGTAAAATACAAAGCCTATATATGTATAATATTACTTTTACTTTCTAATCTTCTTTCTAGATATATGTATATGTGCGTGTTCGATTGTGTACCATTGCATTTCTGGGTGTGTTTACATTTCAAAAATGTATATTATAGATAGATCTTTTTACCGACAATATATATATATATATATATATATATATATATATATATATATATATATATATATATATATATGTGAGGAGGCACGGTGGAATAATGGATTGAGGAATCGGAGAGCCGAGTTCCGATTCCAGTGGGTAAATAGCAGGACAGACTGGGTTCTATAGCCTTGGATGGCAACTGATCTAGGAG